ACTCTCTTCGGCAAACGATGGTTCGGCATGCGTAAAACATGTCCCAACCAACGCAGCTTCTGGTGCTGGACACATTCTTCAATGGAAGTACCCGATACACAACCGAAAACACGCTTTCTAACTGCCTCGTTACGAATTCGCCGACACCCCGAACCCCGAATACAAATCCTAAAATTAGCTACAGGGTCCCTGTGCGCTTTTAAATATATCTGGGTAACAGAACATTCCGCCATAAGATAAAATAAAAATATCTTAAAAGAGACACTTTAGAAAGGGTAGGAGGGGGAGGATACGAAGCTTCAATTTTGTTCACTTTACCGCGGCTTTCACCATAAAACGGGGAATTTTGTCTCAGTTTTATAAACCATGTAATGGAGTCTAATGCGCATGAGCTTCTACTGGTCGGATTTTATTGCCCAAATCCATGAGTAACTGGTTGATTGACCTTATTACACAAACACAAATGAATGCAAAACAGCCTAACTATGCTTTTTATGTAAATGACGTTTAGTGAGTCAAAATAAGCTTCTAAAATATCTGGCTTGTTTGGTGGTCGCTTTATGGAAGGAGGGGAGTTGGTTCAGCACAAGGTGGCGTNGCGTAATCCTCAGTAGACTGACGAAGAATTGGCGTCCAACGATTACTGCCCAAAAACAGTTCAGTTGCCTGCTTCTGGTAGGCTGGAAAACAAACGTTCTGGCAAAGAACGTTGTGGACCATTTGTAAAAAACAAGTCCAAAATTTCACTCGGGTAATGAAATCTTTACGTGACATAGTCCATAGGTTCAAAGGTTTGACTTGGTCCGTCCGGATTTATGGCCTCCAGAAATCAACTGCATAAGGTTTCAAAACCCCAAAGTCAGGTTAATTTGACTGCGAGCCCAGACTCAGAAGCTGAATTGATACATTTGAATCGTTTAATTTGCCAAAAGTTGCAAAGCAAAGTATTTGCAACCGGACATTAAGGCGACTACTCTTGGAAGAAAACTGTATTAGCTCGATGTATAAAGCATAGCGTGGGGGACATTAGAAGATCCTCTGCGTAATACACTGCCGTTTACTTAAATAACACGAATAAGTAACTTTAAACTAAGGATCCGCAAGGCCTCGGATAGAAAACCAACCATACTTACTCATCCATACCGTGCACGCATACAGCGTAGACTCACCTGGGCGTAAGCAGTGTAGAACTGTTCATGTCGAGCCATATATTCTCCGGGCAGAATAGCATCCTCCAGTGAGTTCTCTTTCTCATCCATCCATTTGTCCAAAGCCTGTGGAAAGGTAGTCACCAGTATTATAATTTACAAAGATGTAATTTACTGCACTGCACATACTTCTACTGAATGTCGGAAAGTACGAGGTCGCTTCCCAGGCTCCGTAAAGGGTGCAAAGCACAAACAAGTGGCCCATGAAAGGAGAACAGTCTGTGTGCCCATATGGAAAGTCTTTCATGGTGGCTGAGAATGCCTAGCTGACCTGAATAAAGAGTAATAGACCTGGTTTCATAGGATCAAAAGCATCTGGATCAGGGAAAATATGTCTGAAGCTGTTGGACAGATTTCCTCTAATTCTATTCAATATTTTATCATCCCACCCAGCGAAATATTGAGCAGTGATGTAATTGTGCCGATGAACCTAAACCATGCGTTGTGAATACGAAACCTCGCGGAGCAATGATTACCTTTCAAGCCAGTCTAACCTGTTTCTATCCCAACATTGTTGAGCAGCAGTACAAAGACCTGCTTTCATGAGAGTGCATCAAAGAAACTGATATAACCTGGCTGCGTGTGCGAGGTTTTCTACATGATTTTATCTCTCTAAGTTTCGTAGTAAGTTGCTCTCTGTTAGTGCAGATGGAATCTCCGTAGGATGGCAATTTTGTTTCCTATTGCTTCATGTTTGTTAAGTAGCTCGATGGTTCTATTCGAAGTGGCTTCGATTGGTGTGTGAAAGCTTCCATAATCATAAAGGAAACTACTCACAAGGTTGCTAAAAACTCTACTTCCTTTCCTTTGTGAAAATATACTGCGATATTTAGAATATCGTACCAACTGAAACATGAGGCGGCCTGCGTGCATCACATTCATTTGAAGAACGTCACAAACGAGAGATTCATTTGGGCCCACCGTGAAAACCAAATTGGTTTGCAGATGAGTGTATTTGTCTCCCATAATCATCTTTGCTGTAGTGCAAAAGATCCAGACCGGAACTCGTTGGCGCTGTAACCACTTTGAAATAAAACAACCGTTCTTCCTTAGTTTACTGAAGCTGTGACAAAGTGCTTACTCATTTCAATACCTCGAAAGGTGGACAGTGTTTACTAAATTTGTACAATCTGTCGTATGCTGTGGAGCCTCAAAATCGCCCGAAGATGAAATGCTGACTGTCGACTTCGGAAACTATCCTAATATAACTGACGTGACGCTCCCAAAAATTAAGATGGCCATCGGAGTTACGGAAGGCGATGCAAGAGAAAGCGATGCTGAAAACACAAAAATTCATCCCTGCACTTCCAGTTTGTTACAGTTAGCCGTAGAAGCGTGAATGTTTTGTCAATTTAATGATTGGAACCGGATTGAGGTGCAGCTATGAACGTTCAGAAGCAGTAATTGAAACTAACGAATTACCAAACTGAAAGCTACTGTTATGTTCGCATCTATCCGTTGTAATGATCAGCTGCTTGGGGCCCGACTGCTCAAGACCGGTGAGTCTATTATTCAGTCCACGCTGCATGTATTATTCGACCGTTGGACACCCGGTTTTAGATAAACCTGAGAAACCAGCCCTTTATACTCAAAACCTTGGAGGTACCACTCAGATGGCCAATGGGTAAACACCCAAAAACTTTTGGACAAACAACCCCCCCTCTTATTATCTATGCGACACTTCTACGATCATGCAATTTTCTCACGGACGGGGACTTCAAAATTATTATGCCACCTTGCAGTGTGATGTAAAAAGAACAACGAAAAACTTGCTGCCTCTACTGAGGTTCCCTTGGCAACTGATATGAACTTTATGGAATCGGACTTGGAATGTATCACCGAAAAAGGTGCTTCTTTGTTAAGTGTGAATTTCACCACGTCTGATTGTCGAAAAGCTATGGTATGCATTTCTTGCGTTGTATTTATAAATATGTCTATTTTGATTACCTCGGATTTGCGAAAATCTAGTACTGTTTGAGGCACATTTGAAGCAAGTCAACTGCAACCTAATGATTGCAATAAATAAGAATGCTCTCTTCTGAAATAATGAAAGGACCACTAGCTTCAAGTGAATTGCGGTAGCGCTTTCAGGGTGACACGGTCGGAAATTCTGACATTATAGCACTGCTGGGTTTCAGCATCTGTTGCATCTATCCGTGTTAAAATGTTTCTGGGTATTAACGGGAAGCCAGTCAACGAAGTTGAGTATCCAAACTGAATAATATCTTTTCGAATAGCACCACTGCCTGTAGCCTCCTGAAAGAATATTCATATTTGTTGAAAGCTTCCATATTACTGCTGATTTCTCGCCCTTAATGAGCCTCAGTTAATAGGTCGCAGGAGATTCTCTGTGGTGCTTCAATCGTTGTTCAGTCAAGTATAAAGCACAACGAATCCCATGGCAGTGTCCCGTTTGAAAAATTTAAAAATTTATTCCAAATATTTCGAGGTAAACTTTGAAAAATGGTCTCCCTAAAAACGCATGCCTTCGGAACGTCATTTTGACCGGCAATTTGCGAACCAGTGCAAAGAGCAAATAACGAGCATGACCAGATGCGTCAACGGGGTGTCGTCATAAGTAAAACGCGTCAGGTTGGAGAACAACTGATTGTGGGTTTTGAATCTTGCTAATTTTGACGCATACAGTAAACGCTGCTGGACAGAATGACAAACCAAAAGCGGGTTGGCTTTGCATCCATTTTGAGCCGAGTTGGCAGGAGATATTCTCATTGTAAATGTCGTAATATATTCCAAAGAACGTAAGTTTTAGCACGTGTGAATGTTGTAAAACTTATATCCTCAAAGTTTTCCCCTACAATTCATCCTGATAAGTTCTTGCGCTTCATTTTTTCTCTTTGTCAGTTATTTTGCTACTGGATGGTCTTGTTGAGGTACCGCTAGACTGATAATTCCACTACGAGTATTTCCGAAATACCTGAGTGCTCAGTCATTTGTAAAAGTGATGTGGAAACATACACTACAATGCATGATCGATCAACAAGGGAAGAACTGAGAGCAACTAGATACCCTCTCAACGTGGACCAAATCCTGTTGGCCTTGTGATTACGCGTTGGACAACCATGTTTGAGCATCCAATGCATCCTGTTAACAACTCATTTTTTAAAGCGAAGCAATCGCGAACCATATCTGTGAAACAGTGAACCACAAAACGCTCAAAACTGAATGGGATTTGGATGAGTTTCCGTTGTCAGCCTTGGTGCTTGTTTATTTGTATACAAGGCATGATAATGAAGAGCTGCTTACTGAAACCATCTAATTTACGTCCGAAATGTGTTCAAAACAACCTTTCTCTGAAACTCACCCGACGGGTAATCAGCAGGCCTGTTGCATCATCAATAATCTGGGATGCCGCGTCATCAAGTCCAGCTGAGATGTAGATCATCAACTGTAACAATAGACCAAGGGGAGCACAAAATTTTGACCACATTACTTTCCAGTTTATTAGTTCAGTAGTTCAAAAGTGACTTTCTTATGGAAAGAGTAGGAAGTATTTGAAAACGGACGGGAAATCAAACTCAATGAGAGACGTCAAACGGTTATTATTGTCGAGAAATGTGGATGTTTTGGGTTTACTTCCTAATTGCTGGACAGAACGTACCATTTGGATTGCAAACATTAAGTTAGCCATCGAACAGAAACAATCGAGGTGCACACCAGTTGGTGAGCACTTATGCATGGCGGCTGTGAGAACAAAGCAAAGGGGGCCCATTATGTGTTTCACTATATCGTACCGACTCTGGTCATTGTGAGATAACCCCACAGGCTAAAATCATATGTAAAGTCTGTCGGTTGGGTTCCTCCAAGTGTGCAAACCAAATATACGTTGGAATGGCCAACGACATTCCAGCAATATGCATTATGGGCTGAGACAACGCAATTCTTCTATGACTTCCTACTTGGAATGGTTATCATCTCAAAAGGTTCGTTGCCACAATGCCACAGTTTATCCTGTTGAAGTGTGCGACGAACTAATCAATGACGATGATGTATAGACACAAAGCACTTTCATTCTTCCGGCAAAATAACAGAGCTTGCAAGTTACATGAAACAGTAACCTTATTCCAGTTTACAAGTCACTACTTTATGCCAGCTCGCCAGTATGTGCTTGAATTGAACGTTTATGCCGATTTGTAACTGAAGAGGGAATAAATGCGCTGGAAGGTCAGTTCTTTTGCGCACAGCATCCAACAATTCGTGTCCCGTGATGTTTTCCCGGGGGGCCTGGAAAACGACCAGATTTTGAGGGTAGAAGTGTCCTAGCGTTCATGTCACCCAAAGAGGAAAGATGCAGGCGAACGAACTGTTTACTTTCACAGAGGAGCAGAAATCGTATATGAGTTGCAGGCCTAACATTGAAATCCTTTAGTGCACGATAATTGGGACAAATATCATCTTTTTGAATCACATGAGGCAATCAGTGACGTTGTTTTTATGCAGTTGTTACGGCGACTGCCTAATCTAATCGGATTTACAACTTACCCATGAAGATGCATTCAAGTAAGCCTGGGTCTCATTGCCAATCTGATTCCTGACGCACTGCCAGTGCTTCAGATATTCTTGCCAGCTCCTGTCAGACCAGATTAACTGCGAGTTCTCAGTGAGTTTGTATGAACCTGTGGCGATAAGTTGGATAAGTAGGTTAGACCAACTATATGCATGCTTATCATACTCATACATGACAAATTGCGGAGAAGGTTTGCAAAGAATCGCAAGGATGTATGCTTCACATTTGTTTTCACAGAAGATTTCCCTTTTTAAGAACAAATTGCGGAGAAGGTTTGCAAAGAATCGCAAGGATGTATGCTTCACATTTGTTTTCACAGCAGATTTCCCTTTTTAAGATAAGACGTTGGTTGTTGATCAGGTGACTGCTGATCTGTTCGCCGAGCCTTGCAATCGATCTTCAAACGTTTCGTCATCGTTCGAGTGGACATCATCAGTGCGCAGTTAGTAAGACGTTTTTTGAACACCAGGTACGTTTTAATCGTCATTCGATGCGTCGTGATTAGGAGGTTACAAATAAACCCCGGGTTATGGAGAAGCGCGTTTTATATCTGGTCATTTCGTCACACGATAAATAGGATCACTCATGAGCAGAGGTTTGTAGCTGAAGAAGTACTACGTCAATCCCGTGAGATGAATCTTCCAAACATACTATCTCTATAGTGCTACAGTATATAGGAAATGTCCAGCTCTACCTATAATTTAAAATCCATAAACTAAAGAGAAGTTAGTGAGCTCTTTTTTGTTTGGAGTAGGCATATTTTGGTCTCGGTGGTAAACGGACTGAACGTTCGGTTCTACGCACGATAATGGTCATCTGGAAGGTGATGATAATCGATTTTCCGTGCCTTGAACTGAAGATATCACTGGTATATTTGTAACTGTGTACGATTGCAATGGGACATTCGAGAAAATCTGTCAGAGACAGCCGGATAGTGGGGTGACGGCTCGGGGGATGATGCAGGTTTAGAGAAAAAAGGTTTTGACATCTGCTGTCCTCTTTACAACAGTATAGTACTCTTTTTAATACTTTGAAGTTACATGGAACAATACACTGCACACTGTAAGGCGTTTATCCTCCCAATGCAACATTACGCGAATCAAGAGGTTCGTTAGACAGACTTTGATCCAGAAAATTTTTCCGTTAATGGTTGACCTTTCATTCAGTTGAAAATAATTCACACTGGAAATAAATAAGGCTGTGGGAGAAAAGCCGACAGTATTCTAGAAAGCATACTGCTGATGGCGGGATCAAGTTAGTTCTGCGCACTCGATTCAGGTTGATTCTGGGGTTAAATCTTTTGATTTCGTTTTTACTTGGACGGGAGCGATCCCCTAAAGTATGACACTGCAGTATTGATCCGTGGAGTCTGGTTCACAGTTCGTGTAAACCCGGGATTTGAAAAAAGTTACGATATGTGGGACCTGACGTGTATACGGATAAATCTTTCCTTGGAAAAAAATACGAGGAAATCCGGCACTGTTTCTCTGCGCATACAGTATATTTTAGCATACATTTTCTTATTACTTTTGGTTTCCATTGCCTCTGTTTTATTTACATGGCACACTGTTATACCCTTGGTAGTGTGGTGGCTAAACTCAGGGTCTAAGAATAACTTACCGGCTCTTTTGCCAACGGAATATGGTATTGCACGTTGTACATCCAGCAGGGAGATATCAATGTGAATTATCTTGATCAATCTAAAAATATTCTGTTGTCCACTGTATTGTTTTCTACTTGGTCCCACACCGGATTCACAGGGCCACTTACCTAATAACCAGAATCCAGCTTTCTAGATTGTGCACTCATTGTTTACGAAAGTCTGCATATGTCCTTCTTAAATGCGTCGTTGTTTATGTCAAAAATTCAAATCCTATAAAGGACGCTAGGATAATATTAAAAGAACGGCGGTATTGAGAGTATAGACTGTATCCAGGTTTGTTTTAGTTTAGCCTATAGCTAGTGAATCAAGTTTTTGACATATCCAAATCTGATTGCACTGTCATCGTCATCATCATCATCATCATCAATGGCAGCAACATCAGTGTTCGCACTGATGCTTCACTACTGTACACTGCCGTGCACTGTAGTTGAGGAGAAACTACTGATGCTCTTCCCAAGGCAGACAACTTACCAATTTCACCGAGCAAGTGAGCCATGGCTGTGGCAACCATCGATCCAAAAGCAGCGAAATTCAGGGTCGCCGGTAGTGAATGATGATAGACCGGAGGCTGTACTGCTCCAAGAGGTACGTAGAGTTGATCTTTCACAATCTGCATACCAATCTTCGCATCGTACACGTTGACCCTATCACTAAGCCAGTCGTTTTCGTCTGGATCAGCGATTCCTGCGAGTAGGCGGTTGTACATTGCTCGAAGGTATGCGATTGAGGATAGAAGATTCTCCATGTAGATGTATGAAGATTTGAGCTATAAGAAGTGGACAGAATCGATCTCAGCACACAGTAGGTATCACAAATATCTATCACGTCAGGCGTATCTGTAAGTCAAAACGGTTGTGCCATGCATAGTTATCCTAGCTTACTTGACCCGGAGTGGCCTACTTCAGACGTCTTTAATGGACTTGTCAATAAGGTAGTTCACTGGCAACAATTAATTGGAATTTGATTTGCTCTGACTAAGCGTGACAATGCAATTAGGCTTATTCTCACTGATGATTTTCGAAAAAAACTTTATTGCTGATGGATATTCAAGGGCGCATGAATGCACCAGCACGCACATACAGCCACTGTAACAGTAGAACGTTCATCTATCAAGCTCTAAGAGCGTAGTTCACTCCACTAGCTGGTTGAGATATGTAGTCATCTGATGACTTACAGTGATACCCGATTCTGCTATCTTGGAAGACAAAGTAGAGTTTATTGAAACGCATGAGCCGTACTTGATACTGAGCAAAATGCAAGTTTTCAACGTTCAACTAGTACTCACAGGAGTGACGGTTAAAACAGCAGAGCAGCTCCGGATACACATCAACTAGTAAGAGGCTGAGAGGTTGTTTTTCTTGTCACAGTTAAACAGGCAAAAACTCAAGGATTCACAATATTCAGCTTCGCTAACATATATACCGTTAACAAAAGTAATATGATTACCAGCAATGTATCCACCGCGGTTTTTTAAATTGCGTTTGCGCCTTAAGGAGCGCTTGCATTCCTTCTTAAACACATTGTATAACATCACTATAGCCGAGCAAGTACAACAACACTTTATTCTTGGTTCCAGTATGATAGACTGTGTGCTTTTCTCAGCAAGATATCCTTCAGAACAAGCCAAGACAGCTTCTCGGTTTGTAAACATTTTAAAATAGCTTTCTAGACGTTTTTTCCCAAGGGGAAATACATAACCACTGTCCTCAAACAAAAGGCTTGACATTCTTCAAAAAGGATGTGTGGTTATAGGAGATGGCAACTTTACCACTGTCTTTATACTTTTAGTACTTATCCATTACATTATCTACAGCTTATTTTACTAGAAAAACTTCATAAACTTGTCCTTTGTAGCAGATACTCCTAAGGACAGTTTCCTGTAAAAACTTCCGAGTGCACCTCTAAGGTCCCATGTCATAACTCACTCGTCCTCTTTTTAAAATGAAAATGAAGTAGATCTGTATCAAATGCCTTGGGATTTATGCATCCAGTTACACAGCACCTTCTTACTTCCACAGGTTGTCATCAGCAAGACCTGAACGAACCTGAGAGTTGGTCAGAATTTTCAAACTACATCAGATTTGTGGAAGGCAGGCCTCAGGATCCAACAGGCATATCCAGGACAAGTAGTTATTTTACAAGAGACTCTAAAAACATATAAACTAACCCGTCTGTATGCGTAATCCAATTTGACATCATTGGTCATGATTTCTGGCACAGTATACTTTATTTCCATTTCATCTATCTGTCATGAGGAAAACAAAAGTATTAGGAGTAAAATTGCTATAAAAATTACCATTGAAAGTAATGAAATCATGTTTCCAGAAGAAACAAACAGAGGGGCCGGCTAGATGGGACCGGGAATGTGGTCAGAAAGGAAACTTGAAATAAAACATCAGAAAAATTCATTTCGTGGAACTTGACATGCAAGGTCTACCGGTTACAAGATATTCTTGAATCACAAGCTGTTGTCATTGGTCTAATTATTTTTCCCAGTGTGAACGAATAACCGCACTCGGATTCAACCACTGCAGGTCAATGATAAGCCGGAGAACATACGATAAAATATAGATGGCTTTACTGTGCTGCGTCAGAAGACCATGTGGATGTAAATGTGACGAAACGTTCCAGTACTAGAAACAATATGTCCAGTGAGTTTTCTGACATGGGAAGGAATGAGATGGCGAGCCGACTTGACCTATCAACCTACGATCCCTAATCCTAAGTCAATGAAACACGGTTTCGCTTCTTACTACTCAAGAACTCCATCTCAACTGAACACGAGAGTGCTTAATGAACACATGTTCACACATGTTCACCCATTCGCCGATGCCCACGTGACCACTGAGCTTGGCATCCCCTGCCGTCGCAGTCTGGTCGATACTGGGACACAGGACACCGGAGCGACCAATGGAATCGCCCGACCCAACAACTAATCGCATCTCCTGCTAGCAGCACGTATAATAACACACACCTAACACTACTCAACGCACAACCACTAACCCACCGCTACGCACCACTACGCTCCCCAATAACGCACCGATGACGTCACCTCGATTGGTGATGCAACGTGACATCGCCTGTTACGTTTACCTCCAAGTAGACACGAAGAATGTTGAATAAACAGCGCATTTGCCTGACGGTTTTACTCAACGTAACTTCCAAAAGAACATTTTTCAATAAGGGTTCTCAGAAATGAAACTTACTCTTTTCTCAAGCCTCCTTTTCGTTTCGTAATCCATCCACTTAGTCCGTTCCACCTGTTCTCTTGCGGTAGACTTAAGGTAACTCAACATGGCTTTCGTCTGCAAAGGTAAAATCATGATATGGTTTTTGAATACGAGACAAGAATACTCAGGTAACCAAAACGTTGATAAAATGTGTAAAATCGCCACAGCGGTGGCCGCAAATCCACACCGATTATTTTTAGCTATTCCTTGCGCCATTGTTGGCTCCGTATTCAGTGAATTGTGTATCCGAATTTCGGTTCTTTTTTCATTATAGGGGAGGTGACAATTATATTATGGAGTCAAAATGACCTCAATCAAATACGAAGCCACTTATATGTTAGGTGACATACACTCTAGGTCAATCCACGTACAACCTGTAACCGCTGAAAATTACAAAAGATGTTTCTAGGAAGTAACCTGACCCTTAAAACTCTAACCGTCTTCGTGAGGGGCCCTCCCAGATTCAATGGCCTCTTTTCATTTGGCGCCAAAATTTCAAGACCTCTTTTTGTGCAGAGAGCCATATCACTGTTCTGCACTACATACAGGAATATGAAGTCGATATAACGCAATCATGGACAAGATCTCGCGTGCCTTGGCTGCATTACTGCTGTCAAATTGAAAGCTTCAGTCGATGTGGAATGAGCTCATTTCTGATGAAGTTCTCATGTTCGATTGTTATGCCAGGTTCTGTGCTCCGGACTGGTCCATTAAACAACACATTGTTGGGTACTTCGGATATGACCAGGGGCGACGAATGTTCTGTACAATTTGCTATCATAAAACATCCGAAATAAAGGGAGGCATGTGCGCGATACTAAAAGGATATGAAACTACTCAAAAAATGACAATATTCTGGTTCACTTGAAATGGTCTTCAAGGTGAAAGGCTCAGGACCTGATAGGGCCACTCACAAACAGCATAACAATTCCTGTCCGACTCGCAACCTTACACTACGATTTCACATCCAATTTTATTTACGCGGCTGACACCCATGTCGCGTTCCAAGCTTACGACCTTCAACCACATCAGGTGAAGTTGTGTTCATGTTCGTGCGATTATCAGTCAAGAATGGACACCCTCTCGCCACACTGCACACAACAAATGGGCATGCAACGCCGATAAGCACACATCCGCACGCACAGGACAGGAAGTCAGCCGAGCTCCACAAGTCTCCAAAGACCACAGAACACACTTAGCAGCCATACTGCAGAGAAGACACGTCTCACGTCCGGAACTATCAACAGCTGTCCTCAAACAAGAAGTCAGTTTTCGGCTTATTCCCTTTTTGCACTGTGGCAAAAAGTGGGTATAATGAAGGCTAGATTTTCTGTACTAGGTGCCAGCTCCGCCGAATTTTCCACGAGTCCAAACATTCGTTCTCTTGAAAACAATGTCTACCTTCATGGACGAAGCAATTAATTTGGGTTCAAACCGATAAACGGTCTAGAAAGTAAGCCAGTCCATAGTTATTTTTGTTTCGGGACTGCTAGGCAAACGATTTGTTCATCCCGATTTCGGAAATCACCGTTTCCCACTGTCCACCTGCCAAAAATTGTGACCTGTGAATAGTACAGACTATTGCGTTAGAGCTTGTGTAGACGAAGTCTACACGAGATGGTCAAACCCGTCCTAACGAAGGAGGGTTTCATCCTACTTCTGGTTTTAGTAAGTTACAGTAGTTGTGGGGTTCGACATTAGAAAAGGAAACAGATAAAATTGTTTGGACTGAAAAGCTGGTCAGCGCTTTCTGGGTATTACAACAAACAAGAATGGATCACGTCCTGTTTGTCCGTGTACAAGACTGCAATTAGTAGTCACCTACTATGAAGCGCTGCAAAACGAACTTTCACCTTTGCTGACTTTCGTCTAAAAGCTTTAAAACAAGGAGCCACCACCAAACTGTTAGAAAATTACCTGTAATTTTGATGAACGTATATTCGTCATCTTCAGGGAGAATGCCGACGAAGGCTAGTCCTCAAAGCATAATGCTCTCGTCCGTTTTTTAAAGAACCTATTTTAATCAGTTACTAAGGAATTATTTTCATTCAGGAAAAAATGATTTTGGTTTATCCCTTCAAATGGTCTTCTCATCTGATCTAACTTTATCTAAGGAGTGGTTTGGCAGCTGAGACAAGCGGAACTTCTAAGCTGTTTCTTGTTCGTACGCCAGAATTTCACCCGCTAAAATGCGTGAGAGTTTCTAGACAGTACAAAAAAAATTTCACGTGACATTGAATTTTGAGAAGAGTGCTGAAAATAATGCAAGCCAATGGGAAAAGCCGAGTTAGTTTAATGCATTTTTTCACAAAAGGTGACTGGAACGTTTCTGACCCTATGTTCTATGTCATCAAGCCCAGTGGATACACTTTTCACCATCAGTTAGCTCCGCCACTTCCGCAGTCGTTGTCCATCCAACAGCCCTAGCTTTTCATCACTTGCAGCTAGGGTTCAGCCTGGCTTTCGGCGAGGGTTTAGAAAGACTGAACGTTTCGATCGTGATACTACGGCCGTTTACGATGCAGCCAACCCAAGCAACTGACGGAAATCGGTTTCTCATGTGATGTGGCCTAATTCGAATTAAAATGTGTTACTTCATTTGGCCGTACTAGATCACCTAGAAGAAGGGCTTGTCTTTTCTTCAGGTGGGCAGTTTGGAGGTAACTACAGATTACCTCTTTTCTTGTTTTTTTTCCAACATCCTGATCTTGTATTCTTCTTGGTCTGAGAGGAACAACAAATGGGGGAAAAGAGTTACAAACTTTTCCGCACCTTCTTATATTAGTACAGAAGCTTCATCAGTAAAGCCTTTCCAAGCCATGGTTCTTTTCTTCCATAATGTGTCCCCTGATTTACAGTCACGTTTTAATAAATAAGTTTTACATATGAAAAAAATGTAAGGCACTTTTGTCTAGCCTTTCTTCTGCTAATTCTAAAACCAATTAATTTTCCACGCTCTTTTATTCCGTTTTATATGCTTGATATAGAGCTCATTTTTTCACACATGGTTATGCCATCGAAACCGTGGTAAAGTATACTTCTCTCATCCGTCTTGCTCCGTCTGGACCATTCCTTTTTATTTACACGTGTTGGTCTATCCTGCGTACCGTAGGATCGCGTTGAATGCGGCAGATCCGACAGAAGCTTACACGTCCTGCGTACGTTTTGAATAATTAACCAAGACGTTTTGTCAGACACTTTCTGTTTCCCTGTTCTTTCTGGTACCGTCTGTCCGGGGCTGTCTGGAATTATTCATATCGTATGTGCAAACACACACAAAGATGAAAATGTGACACTCACATGGTTGACTGCCTCGTCATGTAAATGATTTTCCACGAAGATGGCACCCAGGACAGTGCTGAACAGTTGGTGGGTGAATAGGAAGCAATCGGTTTCCAAATCCGAGTCCATCCAGGAATAGTGTTTGTTCTGAATCGAGGCCATCTCATAGGACAAATGCCACGCATAACTATCAAGCGTGTTCCACAGCATGTAGTTATTCAAAATTCTGAAAAAAATGGGTGGAACCACACAAGGTTTTTGTTAGACAGTAAAGTAAAGAGGAGTGTACTGGATATCTACATCAACTTGAGCAGGCCAGGAATCCAAAAGTGGGCGGAAATTCGCAAGCGGAAAAACGTGGTCAGACTTCTGTTTTGAGGTATAAGGGGGGCGACTGTGATGATGGACACCACAAGCACTACCAAACTTTTTTGAGATTCCGTCGGTCGCTCAGCCTTTGCAAACAAAAGCATAGGGAAACTATCGTTTTTTATAGAGGAGAATGTTGGTAGTTTAGCTTAGGTGGTTTGTTCACTGAGCTGAGCGATCTGTTTTCAACCGTCTCGTCACCAGTCGAGGTGACATCAGTGCGTTGTACAGGTGTATGAATACGCGAACGTGTCATTTACCTTCTTTGGGTCACATGTCTGAATGGGTTGAGTTAACTGTAAATTATTTGGTTAAATGGGATAAAACAAGCAAATTTTCCGGCTGCTATGTTGCACACTTGTGATCTGAAGTCTATAGATTGAGGCAGACCTTCTCGTAGAAGCTGGTCAACACAATCGGTAAATAGCTACGCACTTGTTAGTATAGACGGCACAATGAATTTGGCTGGCTAATTTTTCAGAACACACTAATGGCGAACAATCGTACCATGTATACACAGACATCAAGAGATGCATTCAGCTTACCTGTTGAATACTGCTTGGGAATAGTTCTTTTGAAGGTCTGCAATCATCTTCGGTAACTTTTTCATATATTTCACCGATCGTGAATAGACACGATAGTTGTCATCGAAGGCAATACCAACTTCATTGAAGTAGTACGTCAACAGTCCTTTCCAATCGAACGTCGAACCGATTTCACTGAGTTGACCTAGAGTGACACTTTCGCGTTCTTTAGTTCTGGCACCTTGGATAATCTAGGGAGATAAGACCGAACTCACTTATCCTATTTCACGTCAAAACTAATGTGAACTGATTGTGATTATTGAAATGCAAAGGGGAAAATTCTGTATCTGATGGAGGGTTGTAAAAAAACAGTCGTCACGAATCTAAAGGTTAACAAGCTGCTTTTACAACCTTTCTTAATATCCACTAGCGATGTTTGATTGAAAAGTTGAATAACCTTGTGGTTTAACTATTCATTAGATACCCAAATGAATCACTTTTATCGAGACTGATACAAAGGTGAGAAAAATTGAGGAGGATATCTGATTAGAATCAAGTGATTCTAGAGGTACACTCATTTTGGTCGTTAGCTTGTTCGCTGAGCTGGGTAGTTTGATTGCATACGTTTCATCACCAATCGAGGTGACATCATCAGTGCGTTATTGGGGAACGTAGATGTGCGTAGCGGTGAGTTAGTGGTTGTGTATTGGGTAGTGTTACGTGTGTGTTAATATAGGTGCTGGTAGCCGGGGATGACCTTTGACCGCGATTAGTTGTTCGGTCGGGCGGTTCCATTGGTTGTTCTGCCATCCCGTGTCCTCATTCGCGGATGCCCCCGTGACCTTTGAGCTTGGCATCCCTCGCCGTCGTAGGTCTACCTTATATCAAGAATATATAAGAACTCACAACCAGATTATTGGCTCACAAAGGAATCTTCGTGGCCCACAAACCGAATGCCACTCCAAGGAAATTAATCTTTAGACCGAAAGACGGGACAAAACCAAGAGGAACAATGTGATACACCAAATCAACTGCAACAACTGCAGCAAATTCTACGTTGGATAAACTGGGAGGAAATTATGTACACGAATAAAGGACCACAATGCGGCTGTCAGGAGGCCTGACCCCTGTCCTTGATATCTATACACGAGGACCAAGAAGGACACAAATCCAATCTGGGGAACGCGAAAATTTTGGCATACGGGAACACGCGACACGGAAGAGAACTTCTGGAATCATGGTACTCCATGGCAGATTCGATCAACCGGTGCATCAAACTGGATCCAATTTACGCACCTCTACGAGCAAAAGACCAGCATCTCAACCGGAACACTCAAGGAACTCATCGGAGTCAAATCAATAAAGATCACCACCGGAACTCGGAAGGACAAAGGTCACTCTAATATCGACCAGACTACGACGGCGAGGATGTCAAGTTCGAAGGTTACGGGGGCATCGGCGAATGAGGACACGGGATAGCAGAACAACCAATGGAACCGCCCGACCGAACAACTAATCACAGTCAAAGGTCAGCCCTGGCTACCAGCACGCATATTAACACACACGTAACACTACCCAATACACAACCACTAACTCACCGCTACGCACAACTACGTTCCCCAATAACGCACTGATGATGTCACCTCGATTGGTGATGAAACGTATGCAATCAAACTGCCCAGCTCAGCGAACAAGCCAACGACTATCTACGCCACCTGAGCTACCGACATTTTCCTCTACAGAATACACTCGTTTTCTTTGTTAATTTGACGGATGCGATCAGATGTCATATATCTGATCAGGGAGTGTATTAGTATCCATGGGATATCCTCTACGCTTATTTTAAATCGAGTGCACACCTATTGGTCGCATCACCGATCTCCAATATCTGTGGTAGTTTCGCACAGCTGTGTAGTTCAAACGGGCAACCACAGTTAATGGAACCTTTCCTCTATTTAAGAGCTGAGTGCTTGAATTACCTCAATCAGGCCATACAGAAGAAAACAAATTTGATCAACAGCTTACTCCTGCAGTAAAGGGGACATCATCAAACGCATAACAAATAACTTTTTAGCGAAACAATGGTTTCAGTGATTCATATGTGGATTTTATTTTTCAGTGGAGACTTCGTCCACTTTCATGAAATCATGCATTTGGTGTCCCATCGATAAAGATGTAGGATAATCAGCATATGCCTCTTCAAACTACGTACTGATAAACTTCAAGTAGCAGTTGTCCTAATTGACCTAAAGTGATGTGGCATAGTGGCATTCTTTAATGCAGGAAATTGTTTGTTACACTGACTAAGAATGGGAGATTTCTTTGCTGCTTACGCTGATGACGGATAAAGGATGTAGATGAAGTAAACAGGTTACATTTAACATGGATGCTTACTGTTTACTGATTTAAGGACCAGTTGCTGGTGGCTGGCCATTGATACATTTTTGAACTTGACGCTTTCACTGGAGTCTTTACTGACGTTTTTACTGGGGTCGATTTCTGACTTTTTCTTCATTCATAAATAACAACTTTTGTCTAGTTAGAGTGGTCTGCTTTCATGGATTTGTTACTTATAACATATTCTATTGGTCTCCATTCGTATCCCAACTGATATCTTTATTATGCCGAAGAATGAAGCCAACTACAAAATCATGATTCGTCAGGGGGTAAACACATGGTAGCTTATTTTCAGGATAGCGGCTGAAGTTAGGCACACAAAAAATAAAATACCCGTATTGTTAACCGAAAAACGTACAGCGGTTATGCACATATGAATGCCAGTTATTGACATTCCACTGGATGTCTTCTGGTGCCTTTTCGGGCCAGATTGCCTTCGCTTTTGAATTCGTTCCTTTGGACATACCATAATGTCTTAATTATATCCCCCGACCATTCGCCTCATAACAGGCTCTTCTATATCTTTTCGTCTTTTCACTTGATTACATTTTATCGCCTAAGGAACCGTCAGCGCCAAGCCTAAATAGGGTGAATCAAAATGCAACTACTCGGAGGTTCAAGCATAAGAGCCCAATTAGGTGGTTTTGTTTTCAAGTGTTCAAACTACGCTACGCATGAGATACGTACCCGCAGATCGAGAGTTATGCATGTTTTAGTAGTGTCCCTGAAAAAGTCCGATGTGATTGTTCAACAAGACATGCTTTTGATTAGGGCCATTCGGACCTCCTTGGTCCAATTTGGCAGCGCAGCTAGTCAACACACCTAATAGTGTGGTTCTAGCTCGTATTGTTGCTCGTGCGATCAAAGGACTGTCACTATCGCAAACGGTTACATTCCGTATACACTGACCTCCAGTGACACCTAGGGTGAATCGCATAGCCAATCGGTTTGAAACGACTGGTCGACTTGAGGTTACATGTCCTTTGATCTAAATGTAACCCTCAAATGATTTACAGGTTCTAGAGAACGGATGTCATCTGTTCACCGTCAACGACACAGCAGTACACACTGGTGATTCAATTCCCTAATGAGAAAGGAGAATTCGTGATTAAAATATCTCAACCTTGTAAACCTCGCTGAATTTTATATAATGAAATCTTCCAGGAAGACTTACGCAGGTAAACTGACAGACCATTGAGCTTTCGCTGTTAATTTCTGATCGGATGGCTGCCGATCTGTTCACCGAACTTGGTAACTTGCAAACTCTTCGCCAGAAGCAAGATTGGTTATAGCACTTGACAGTTTGTGCCAATAAGTCAAACCCTCCATTTTTCTACACTTCTGTCGCTGTTTCGGTGAGAGCGCACTTCTTTTTAATTATCAGCTTGGCATGTAAGATAACACGAATATGGTTGTGACTGGGACGTCCTGACCAGAGGGTCAATCGACCCTCACAACCAGGACAGTTACTGGATCGTCGGTCGATGAGTCGGACACACCAATCACATCGCTCAAGTGTGAACACGTTCGCCTGTTCGGATGTGAAAATTCAGATGCGTAGGTGGAGTAGTGGTTACACGCTCGCTCACATGTCACCTCACATGTCAGATGTCCGGAGTTCAAATCCCGACACGGCCATTGGATGTGCACTGTTGATGAGCTCTAATAGGAGCGAAACTAGTCCAGTGCTTCCCTTTGGTGTGAGCTCACCGGAATAATTACGCCAGAACAGGACGACCGTTCAAACGAGAGTGGTGTGACTGTGAAAAAAATACCTGTTCCGCAAATCCCCAAAAATAACTGTGATCGTAGATACTATTTTCATGGAAATAACATTAACTTCCATTTTGCCTGTTCTAGCGGACCTTCATCTGAATCCTTTAAAGCAGATCGTTACAAACTTTGGGGTTGCCTTTGATGTTTTCCAGAGGTTTCCAACGAAGCTACCCCGTTTCAGTTGTTAGTAGCTGGAAGATTTTTCAGTACGTTTATTACTAAGAGGTGGCTGGATGACTTTATTACGTCCGAACTGTCGGGTTTAAACCTCAGTCAAGAAACTTGGAAGTTTTGTAAATCGTCATAGATTTATTCTTTGTTGGTTACAAGTGGACCCCTTCACCAGAAAACTTGTGTGTATTTGCTGGATGGCTGTTTTAGCTTACTAGTCATTGATCGGTAAGGTAGAAGTGAAACCGCACAAAAAAATCGTGTTAAACTTGATGATTTGATGAGTTACGGGCAATTAACCAAACTTTGCCAAAACCCTGATAGTATCCTAAAATCTCGCTCGTTGCAGTATGTTGGGTTTTTCGAAAGGGGGAGTTGAGGTTTAGTTCAGCAATCCAAATTTGTCCCCCCTCTTGGAGTTATATGCTTCTGATTCTCGTGCCCTTCTTGAGTACCCTGGGATTGTCTGGGTTTTCGAACATATTAGATGAATGAAAACATGAAGGAGAAGTGGCTTCATTTATTTTGAAGGGGCGTGAAGGAAATCATGTGATCTGGATTCTGCAACCAGTTCTTCTTATTCCCATTAAAGACGGTGTGCCAATAAAACCTGAAACCGCTCTTGTAAAAGCAGGTTTGTGGTTGTAAGCCGTGTAATAATAGTCTTTCAGCTGTAGCACCATTTTGGTGNCTTATTCGCATTAAAGACGGGGCGCCAATAAAATCTGAAACCACTCGTGTAAAAGCAGGTTTGTGGTTGTAAGCCGTGTAATAATAGTCTTTCAGCTGTAGCACCATTTTGGTGGCTAGCTGTCATGCCACAAGAAGGGAGAATGGGGACTTAGATGCTGCCAGCCTTGAAAGAAGTAGTTCAAGTTCGTTCCCAACAAGGGCCATCCGGTCAGTAAGATCTTGCCTTAACTGCTGAGCCATCTTGAGCTCAAACTGTATATGTATAGGGGATAGAAATTGTACTACTGATGGTTTCAAGTTTACTAACCTGATACATTTGCTTGCCAACCAGTTCAACATCCTTGATGGCTTGCTTGACTCGTTCCGTGAATTCGGTATCGCCATATGGAATGCCAGCTTCCACACCCAACTGTTGAAATATACTCGTTATGTATTTCTCATACTGGGAATCGGGAGAAACGCAAATTGAAAACAGTCTATCAGATACTATAAATAGTATTCTAAAGGGGCTCCTGTCAGACGAAAGGTGGCGAGATGAGGACTAACAGCGTGTTTTGGTACCAAACCAACGGAAAAATAATGTGATCTGCCTCGGAAGTCAGCGTAAATGGAATTGGTAAACACTTGATGACAAACCAGATAAGGCCGCACTACTGGCCACATTGCAAGTGTTTCTAAAGCGATTGACTAAAGGTTTTTTACAAACGGTTACGTCAAAAAAGAGCAAGGGCGTTTAAAGCTCCGTCGGGTTGCATTTCGGTTATACCCCTAATTAAATACTAGGGGAGTTTGATATGTATAATGATCCATTCTTGGCTCGGTGTGAAGTGTACAAATAAAATGTACTATATATGTGGGTATGGTTCCGTGATAAGTAAAATGCCGGTTGCATAGAGACAGAAAAAACTGGATAGGATATTTTACCTTCAGCCTGCACAACACTCAACTGTTGTTGCACTTTATCTTATACAGGCTCAATGTCCGCTTTACTGGGAAATTTCATGACATTCTCTCGCGGGATCAAACCAGTTATAAAGCTCGTGTACAATCCAATTAGGGCCGATAAGCTTTCACGATTGTGTGGCATGACACTCACTGAAGTTTCAGAAGCTGAGAAATATACTGAAGACACTAGGGGGGCACTCACAACCGGTAATAGGATAACCTCAAGTGTAAAGGAGCTTGTTGTCGAAGTTTCTCCAAGGACCCATATTGTCTGTTTATATCATGCTGCTCAAATTAGGCAGGAGTACTCAAGAGGATTTTTATCCAGTGAATCGGACGACTTTGTTACCGACTGTTCAAATTTTTTTCAGAGCAAAAGAAAAGTAGTTTTGAAGCTGGGGATTAACTCGGTTTTCATTTGTCACCAGGTACAGTATGGCATCAGTTCTTGAAAGCAGCCATTTGACCGGGTAGGAAAACAACAAATCTGAAATACTCAGATGATCAGGACTTGAATAAATGAGGCTCTTTTCTAGGATTAGCTCTCTGTTTTATAGTCAGGACAGCCTTAGACACATTTGAGGTCTGTGGCCATACGTAGTCCTTAAACTCAAAATACAGTTTGTTTCAGACAAGCTGAGAAATGTGGTTTTCTAGTGGCCGCACTTAATCAAATTATTTTTTGTGTCAAATGAGAAGGCGGATATTTCTTCTTTGTAAACAGAGGGTCAACAACAGAAACTAAACAACTATTCATAACCACATGGCATATTGACAAAATATTCTGTCAGTTAGTATTTTGCAAACTAGTACGAAATTGAAGCTTGAAGGACCAGTGTGTAAAAGTTAACAAAGGGATCATTAAATGTGTGTTGAAATCATGATTAGGAAATTTTAAGTTGCATGAATATGATTCAGGGCCAGGGCCGGCGCAAATAAATGACGCTGAACTTACATATGAGTAGTATCTTCCAGCAAGCCAAGCAGTCCAGTCGGGTGTGAACTAGAAGGGAGAAAAGATGCACGTTTGAAATATGGCCGAATGAATCATTTTTTACGCAAAAAATTCACATCAACACTGAATTTTATACTCCTCATACAAACCAATTTCGATCATATCCAGTGGACTCTTTATTGGTGTCTATATCCACCAAGTGTATATACAATTCAAACGATTCACAATAAGTTCTCGGAAAAGCCTCCAGGTTTAAGTATAATTCTACCACATATCTTGCAGAGATGTTTCCATATAATTTTTGTCTTCTCTCTATGAAGAGGAACACTATGTTTCGAAGGGAAATAGTGTTAACAGCAAAATGTACCACATTGTCTTGAATATCTTCGCAGGTGAAACAGCGTCGGACTTGTCCAAGGCATTCGAATCAGCTATAGGACAAACAAGAGGTTCAGCTTACATTCACAGTCTCCTGTTAACGGCATTTCAATTGAAAAAACCACCGATTATTTGGCCATATATCCAACTTGATATTCAGGAAAGAAATCAGAAGGGTGTAGAACTTGGGACTACATTTGTCGAATTAGTTTTAAAAGGGAGAAATTTGTAGGGAGCCCTGCCTATCTAAGGCTCTGTACTTTGCGTCACACCAAGGATGGTCAGCGTCTTTATCGTCGGAGTTGTTGCAACGTCCAACCAGGTTTCCACGCAGCCCAACTTAGATTACAAGGTTCTAAAAAGGAAAAGACAAACCTGAGCCATGATGGTGGAATCTCTCCGACTGACTTGTCGGTCCCCGTATATACATTTACCTCGATAGCCTAAGAGACCAAGTGAGCTAACTCTGGGCAAGCACAACATTCTAAAATGAAACAAAGGAGGCTTACTCGAGAGCTATTGACTGTTTTTAGTTTACTTACAAGGAATAGACAACGGACTCGAATCTTTCGCTCTACTTGCTGAGGAAAAGTTCTAGAGCTTTGTTCATTTCCGAATACAAGAACGAAGATCATATGATCGATCATCGAAATTCTATATTAGAGATAGTATGCCTGAACCCGAGTTCGGACTGGTTCTGGGATCTGGAATTATGCCGGTGGCAACGGTACTTTTCTCACATTTTATTGGTTATCTCCAAACACTCATTTATACAAATAAGTGTTCTTGGGCCCAAGTGGTTGGAATTCACATAACCGTAAAGTTTTCTGTATTGCTCAGCAGGAAAAAATCCTTTGGTTCGGAATGCCAACAGTGACTTACAATCCGGAGCCCCTTACAGTGGCGTAAGACTCGAAACATTTATCAGTAACTTTTTACATCTTACACTGGGCCCTAAAACATTTCA